GGATGGTGTGATAAGAATAAGAGGTAGGAATTGGCTAGGCAGTTAGGGTAAAAAGGCCCCAAAGAAATGTAGCCAGTTTCTTGGCTAAAAGTCAAAACGTCCTTGGGCCTGTTAGCAACATACTCTGTTCCAAAGGCCAAAAATGTCAAAAGTATTTGGGAGCTTGTATCTAATCCTCAAAAGATTTTAGGGTTACCTCTTCAGAGAGGGGGAATGTTGGAGGGGAGGGAGTGGGCATGGATTGATCAAATCACCTTATATATCCAGTTTTTATTTTAATATTTTATTCATTATTTTTTATTTTATATGTATGAATGTACTGCCTGCATGAAAGTGCACCTGTGTTGTACAATGCCTGCAGAGGTCAGAAGACAGCATCAGATCCACTGGGACTATAGTTATGGATGGTTGTTAGCTACCATGTTGGTACTGGGAATTGAACCCAGGTCCTCTTCAAGAGCAGCCAGTGCTCTTAACCGTTGAGCCATCTCTCCAGCCCAACATCCAGCTTTAAAAAAATGAATTCATGTCCTCATGCTTACACAGCAAGCACTTCACTGGCTGAGCTATCTCTCCAGTGTCTTAAAAAATAGTCACAGAAATGTAAAGAGAACCCACCAATGAGGGGACCGATAAATAACTGCAGCGTGTTCACCAGTACTGCCTGCCTTTCACGGAAGTAGAAAGCATGAGTGAGCCACAGCTGGACAGCAGCTTCCATCCTTAGAGCCGTAACAGTAGGAGAAACAAGGAGCAGGGGGTGGCCTGCAGGTCTCACTGGCCTGCACCTGCAGGGTCCTCTTTCCTCATTCGTGGGAAGAGTCTTTAGAAACAGGAGCTGGGCTGTCCTGCTTCCTCCCTGGGGGCAGCAGAGGACTGGGGGCATCCTCCCACTAAAAGGGCTATCAGGGCTCACCGCTGTCCTGTTCTTGCTCCTGCTCATCCTGTTAGGACCCTGATGGAAACCTTCATGGTAGAGATTCCACTTCCCCAATTTTGGGAGACTCTTGGCTCTTTTACATTTAAGAATCAGGACTGACACTAGACCTGAACGCCTTGGGTGTCTGAGGAGGGGCTGCCCTGGAGGGACACTGACCACTGCTTTCCCACTGTCCTCAATGTCTTTTCCTGTGCGATGGGAGATGGTGGCCCTGTCCCCTGGCTGAGAAGTCACTTTCACTCCTTCTGGGCTGCTTGCCCGGCCACTGTTCCCAGGTGTCCTTATGCCTGAAGCCTGATCCCCAACTGTCCACATGTGTGCATCATTTTCTGCTGGTCAAGGAGTGGCTTAGGAGTGGCCACATGCTCTCTAGGGTGCGTAAGAGATGGGGTGACGGACACACGACCTGCATGCAGATCTATAACCAAACCTCAATTTTAGCCCCCCTCAGAAGCACCAGGGCTCCCCCTCTTCCAGGGGAGCTCTGGCTTTGGGTCTAGCTCTTTGCCTGCTTCACACCTCATGCCCATCTCTCTCCCTCTTGGGTTTTCCTGATGGTTTTGACAGATACTAAAATGCTATTTTGCCTTCATGAGTTCATAGCCTTTCAAATCGTTTATTGACATGTGAGAGGCAATTTAGGGAGAACTGGGGGTAAATACACATGTTCAACCACCTTGTTTCCACTTCATGCTGGTATCAGCACCACGTTCTCTCCTCCCAGTTTCCCCGCCCACCACCTGCCATTCCTCAAGTACACTGCTCTGCACGTTCCTGGGACTGGTAAACTGCAATGGCCGTCGAGCAAATCTCTGATCACTTTTCCATCTTCCTGGCCCAAAGCTAGAAAATGCCTCTTGATTCGAAGAGGGTTTTACAGTCACATGGTGATGTGATGATGGTGATGCGATGATGGTGGTGGTGGTGGTGTGATGATGATGGTGGTGGTGATGGTGATGATGGTAGTAGTGATGAGAGGATGTGGTCATGGTGATGATGTGGTGATGATGATGACTGTGATGGTGATACAGTGATCATGCTAGATAGCTTCAGTTGTCAACTTGAGGATCCTGGGAAGTGGGATCCTCACTTGGGGGATTTCCTCTATCAGTTTGGCCTATGGCCATGTCTATGGGGCATTTTCTTGATTATTGAGTGATGTGGAAGGGCCTAGTCCACTGTGGTTGGAGCCACCCCTGGGCAAGTGGTTCCGAGTTGTATAAGAAAACAGGTTGAGCATGGGTCAGGGGAGCAAGTCAGTAAGGGGCATTCCTCCATGGCCTGTGCTTCAGCTCCTGCCTCCAGGTTCCTGCCCTGTGTTCCTACCTTGGGCTCCCTGATGAACTGTGATCAGGATATGTAAGCTAAATGAACCTTTCCTCACCAAACTGGTTTTGGTTAGAGTATTTTATAACAGCAGGTGTAGGAGGTGAAGTGCCAGACCTAAGCACAGGCCACACTAGAGAGCACAGCTTCCACCTTGAGAGCACAGTCTGCGCTTCCACAAAAGAGCCAACCTATAATCTGCCCCAGACCTAGAGAATGACAGAGCGGCTGGGATGAGGGGATCTATCAGGGAGCAACACACCAGCTTATAGGACACTGGGTGCAGGGGGAGAGATATATAAGGCCTGCCCTTCCCAGCAATAAACGAGTCTGCAGCACCTCGCCTAGTGCCTGCTTCCACTCGACTCCTGGTGTCTGTGTGTTGATTCCACAGCATTCACCCCCACCTTGGCCAGAACCCTCGTTCCCTGCAGTCCCTCGTGGGCTGGACCCGCGAGGAAACCTGCAACAGCTGGTGCCCAAACAGGGTTCCCGGCCCCCTGGCATTGGCAACGCCCCCAACTTTGGTTCTTTCGGTGAGTAGGCCCCGGGTTTTGTCCCCTCTACCCTGTTTGTCATATTTGTTAGATCAGGAAGGCACACTCTGCCGTGTGGTCCCAAAGCCCACGTCTACACCTTTTATTCCTTGGCTTGTCCCAGTGAGTTCACATAAGGGCTGATCCACCCCGAACGCAGAGCCCAGGCTTCGGGTCATCCTGTTGCTTGTCCTGGAGACACTGTGTGAGCATACGGCGAAGGTGTCATGGCCTTCGGAAATCCCTCACTAAGCACAAGACATTTGGATCCGAAGCACCTTTTCATGTTGGGGCGGTTTACGCCTGAGTGGCTCACAGTCCTTGTAGGCTTCATTTGTGCCCTCTTGGTAGTCACCCTTGCCTTTTACTTTTGTGGTGAGTTTCCCTTCACGGGACCTTCCCACGATAGGCAACCTACCACCACAGTGCAGGGAACCACAAAGGGCAGTGCTCAAATCGCTCCTTAGAACTCGGAGACTGAAAGTGAAACCAAAAGATATGGAAAGTTTCTGGGGTGAAGCCACTAACTTGGCCCCTTGGGTCTCTCCCGAGAATATGTGGGATCCTGACTTCTGGATGCGAGGCCTTTTCTTGGCCTGAAAAAGGGAAGTAGGGTCGGGAGTCATTCCCCCTGCCTTGTTTGTCCTGATCCTTTTAGCCATCATTGCCAGCCTTAGAGCCCTGGGGTTCAGCGAGAATTTGCTTCACCTCTTGGTCCGCAAATAGCCTGCCAAAAGGAGCCCACGCCTCTATACCCTGCTTGCGAGCCGAGTGACTGCTGACAGATTGTGTGGCGTGGACCAATCAGAAAAC